TAACTGCTCCAGAAGTATCGTGAAAATTTCGTTTTTAAATAGGTTTTAGAGACTACCAGTAGGTCGCTTATATATGAAGTATATTCACCCTATTTCGTTTAAGGTGATAAAGGGACTGATAGTTTAATTTTTCCTGCAATAACTTGAGTTAACTTTACATTTACTTTGAGTTGAATAGGAAATATTCGTGTTACGGTGCAAATCCTGCGACCACTGAAGAATTACGCAAGCTTACAACACCAAAGAGCCCTTCTAACCAGAACAGAAGTCTTAGCAATAGCTAAGATGTTAGAGCATATCAATTATACTGCCCCAACAGCCAAACAAAAGTGGTCAAGGCACATTTTCGTCAGCCAAATGGATCGACCCTGGGAAACCTAAACAGTATTGGCTCGAAATGCACAATCTGTTAGACAATGTGGGTCCTAAACTTGAGTGTGAAAGCTTTTTGGGCTAGGCTTAACCAAAATAGCTTGATGGACAAGTAGGCAAGTTTATAAATAGATATACAGTTAAGCATTGAGGAAGACAGCTAGATTGTTAGCTATTTGTCCGGTAGGCAAGTGCATAAGTAGATAGCTGGGCCAATGCAATTTGATAGCTATCTGGCTTAAAAAGTAAATGAGAATAGTGGTTAGAGTTCTTTTCCCGCAATGGCATCAATGATTTCAGCGTCATCTCGCCTAGTTTCTGAAGAAGGACGGGTATCCATCCAACACACACTTTTCCCTATTGCTACTATGAGTGAACTGAACACTATGCGATTTCGCCTCCTCTTCGCAAGCAGGTATGCAGAAAGATAAGTATAAACTTATCTTCTAAGGCTATTTGTTCGGTTAGTGTATGTCCGAATTATTTCAAGGGTGGATAGATATGTGCATAAATAGATAGTTGGATGGCTCTTTGTTCATTAGGTGATCTTACTGTTTCTATGTTGGTATTTAGATTGCTTGACATCGGTTGGAAAGTATATATTTAGACCGAATTTTAAAATGCGGTTGTGCTTATGTTGTCAGTACATATTGCTATTTCCGTGTCTGCCTTTATGATTTGATTAATAGCTGGGACTTTGCACGCAGGCAGATCTAAGCAGACTTAAGGTAGACAGGCGTTCTGGCATTGGCTCCTCAAGCTAGTCAATTTTTATAGGATTCTCCTGCCTGTATACTAACATAGTCCTAGACGTTCACTTGCACTTGAATAAGACTTTCTCTCTTCCTTCCTCACCTATTTTCTTGTTTTATCTGCCTTGCTCTTTTAATGTGTACTCTTCGCTGGTGATCGCTAGCCTCTTTCGATATCCTTCCCTCTGTCTCATGCTTCTCTCCGCTTTCCGCACGCCTATACCTTATGTGCTCTGGCTCGTTAGGTTTATCCGTCCTGCTCCTGAACATAATGCTTGATAAATCCTCCTCCTGTTTGACCAGCCCGTATCACCCAGGCAGGCCTGTTGGGCGCGCTAATTGTCCAGATGTTGTGCATGACCGACTCTTTCAGCTGATGCTCTTCGTCTGTCAAGTCACCTATTCGGTCTGCCAGTGCCAAAAAGCCTACTTTGAAATCAGGCCAAAATCCGTTCCTGAGGCCTGGCTTGCACAAGCCAGCACGTTGTGATTTTCCCACGTTTGGATAAATTTCCCTTGTTTGGATTCTATGTCCTCCCATAGTTCGACTCTTGGATTTACCCTTTTTCATACTTTCATGCTGCCGTGGTAATAGGTAACTTGTCGTCTCGTCACCACGGCTCACTACGTATTGCCACGTTACTCCTGCAGCCGAATGCCTTCCGACCTACGGACCGGTAACCTCTACCTGCCTTAGAATTAGACGCCGATTCAGTACCTTCTAGCTTCGCTGCCTTCAAAGAGGATTACGGGCAGGGTATTATTTCGGCTGTCATGACAAAAGAATGAATACGATTCATTGGGCCAGTGGTGCTAAACCTACGAGCTGCTCGGAGAATTTAGGCGGTTACGAAAGGTAGGCTGATTATCAATATTCAACCAGGTGTACATATAATTTTCGAAACTACTTATATTAAGTGTTATATATAATGCATTAACGAAGTATACCTGTTCTTTGATCTATCGCTTATACTACTTTTCGGAATCGAATGACAGGCTCTACAAATTCCCTATAAAATTAAAACATAATAGGTTGAAAACTAACTAAAGGTAGATAATTTGCCCTGGAGATAAGCCAGTATGAACTAAATGAGTCGACCTATGAGGTTAAATCCTTCTTGAAAAAGTATAAGAATACAAATTGTTACGCTGGCATAAGGAGCCATACTGTTAGCTTGACTGTACTATCCCAAATAAGAAGGTAAAATACTTAGCATATTAATGAAAGTTTAATTTGCAAAATAATATTTGTAAGCACCTTTTAATAAGGCAAACTAAACAAGTGCGAAGGAAGGAAAGTGATCCACAAGTTAGCCTAGATACATCAAAGGGACATAGTTTACAAATTTTTATTACTATAAGCGTATTTAATACAGATTCCTGTGAACGCAAATCAACCTGAAGACTAATTACACACATCTTAAAAAAGGAAATCATGCTTGTTCAGTAACACTAACTCAGAAAGTTCATAGATATAGAGAATTAATGTGCGCTGATTATTTGATTGTGCCACCGATAAAAGGAAGAAAATAATAGTATTTGCTTAAACGTTTAATAAAGATATTTTATCCTTGTCGTAGGATATACACTGATAAGCCATTTATTCGGTCGATCTGAGCCTTGTGACACTAGATTCGGCTATTCTTTATGGTCGAATAAGAAGAAGCCTGAATGTAATGGTGGAAATACAAGTAATAACTCTTAGCCATAAATGAACGACAGAGGCTATAGCAACTGGAAATGCCCTGCTAAGATAGTTGTACTTCAAGCTGAAATGTGAGAAAATTACCCGAAAATCGATTAACTTGGCCTGGAATAGCTACATATATTTTAGTTTAATTGACAAACAAGTCACCTCATAAAAGTATTTGGGATAGATACTAGAATATTAAGCGCTAAATGCAGAATATTCGGGTTAGATTAGTAAATTTATTAGCATCATCTAGGTCCGACAACTTTGCAAGAATATTTTGGTTGCCGTTCAGCTGAAGTCTAATTATAATTTTATGACTTATTGATGTGTATTTTTTGTTTCCTAAGTAGGCTTTTGAGACTGCCAGTAGATGTTATGTTTAAGTTGTATTCAACCTAAGGGACTTGTAGTTGAATTTTATAAGAACATTATAGTGGTTCTCAAGTTTCCTTATCAACTACAACACATCATATTAAAGCATAAACATACTATGGTAGGAGCCTGTCCAGTGTTTCTGAGCACTCGCATCAATGTGGTGTAGTGAGCAACATGTCCGGACTTTATGTTGCCCGATCCGGATTCGAGTCCTGCTAGATGTATTGATGAGACCTAGATGAGATCAAAATAGCAGTCTACTCTTGATGAGAATAACTTTTTGGAAAGCATGACTATGTAAAATTCAATGGAAACTGATAGCTTGCCCATAGCCTTACGGGACTACGTAAAGTAAAGTATTAGATTCAGATAACTGCAGCAAAACGGGGTCATCTTTCCTTCAGACAAGAATGATCTATGAATCTCATCTTCAGACCTTTTCACAGAGAATAAAGATCATTACATCTATGTTATCCCGCAAGATTAATCGAAACCTGGTTACTCTTCCAATTTGCATCTACAAAGTCTTCTAAGTCAATAAATTTGATAGCCTAGAGCAATTTTTTACGAGGTTATATAGTTCACCTTTAAACATATCATTCCCAGCGATTTAACAACTACAGAAAAGCTAGCTACTGTAGTAGTCCATGCAATCTTTCACTTCTAAAATGAAGATAAGTCACAACTCGACATTAATACTATGTTAGATAAGGGTAATGGATATTGAAGATCTTACAGATTCATTCAGGTATATTGAATGCGAAGTGATTTCACTTTGAAAGTACACGTTCAGAGATGTCATAATTTGGTAAAAAATAGTGATTAGTAATGCACCTACCACACCAAATAGGTGAAAATTAACGTTCGTTTTATTCTTAACTAACTATTCTTTAGGTTGCTATATGAAACCAACCATCTAAACTGCTTTTTAACTGTAAGCATTGTAATGGGATAAACCACATCTATCTGAAAATTTCTACGCAAATTTGATTACCAAAACAAAATTTTGTGAAAGGGAAACTTTGGCAGAAATTTCTTATTAAAAAGCAGTGTCTTTAAAATTTTTTTCTTTGAATTATATACAATATATTCGGGACAACCAGGATATCCCAGGACGAGCTTGTGGATTGCTAAGTTTTGAAGAATGAGGACTAGTGTTAAAAGGAGAAGTTAATGTTTTATTGTCCTACATTTTACTTTCCAACAGGTCCTTAAGAAACAGAAACATATTTTTGACTTATTTATTGATCCCAATTGATCATAAATGGGAGAGCATTGGAGCTATCTGATACACAAAATATTATTAGCGTATTCAAGCGAATTTTTTACTTCATTATAAGCAATCCCGTTATCACAACTTAAAACGCCAAGGTCATATCTTGTTTCTGCTCTTAAATCCTATACAAAATTGCTTTGTTACTTTCTTGTTAATATGAAATTCCCCCAGAGGAACTTAGACTTTTCATGATAGTAATATATTGAGATGCTTACTTAGAATGAGGCGTAGACTTTGAGGGTACCTCTATAGTTAGTTAAATATTTTGATCCACATTTGATGCTCATTAGATTAGCATAAAACTTTCAAATAGTAGATACGAAGAGAAACTTGGTTTCGATGAATCTCCTGAGATAACATTGTTAGGGGGACCTTCAT